GGCCAGGACTCCCTTGAAAAAGAGGTTTTTAATCTCAATGGGACTTTCCTGGTTAAATAAAGGAAATAATAATAATAATCATTTACCCAGAATGCTTTGTGTGGAAATAAAATGGCTCCGTCCATGTTAAAACATATTTTTAAAAAAGATAAAAACTAAACATCCTACAGTATTTTTACAGTCTTTATTTTACAGTTAATATAAATGTTTATCAAATAAAGTCTAATGTTGCAACTAATCCTGGATCTCTTTAAAGCCAGCACTGACCACAAACTACATTTCCCATAATGCATCTTGATTATTTTACAACATGTCACCACTAGGTGGAGCTGCACAGGGTTCAAAAGTAGATGTAAAATCTACATTTAGCTGCGTTTTTGCTGGCTACTTTTACTGCTGTTGCACTGTGAAGTGGGAATTTCCCACTTACGTAAATTTAAACTGGAACGCTCCTCCAGTGGGAAATCCCTGTAGGAAAGTGGGAGAGTTCAGAATTCACCACATTTTAACAATGAGTAAAACTCACTTAGTTTTACTTTTAATAGTATTTCTGTAGTATTTATTTTACATGTAGTCAGTCATACACACAGTATTGTTCAGTGTTTCTTAGAGGATGAGTTAAAACACTGTTTCTGTGCAGGAAATACCAGGTAGAGCTCAGTTAGTGGAGCAGGAACGTGTTTAGTCAGAGTTAAACATAAAACATCAGAACTGGCCCTCGGAGGGGCCACCATGATGCTCAGGTGGTGTGGCCCTGCTGAGTCTGAGGTGCACAGTCTGACCTTCAGGGTGAAGACTTAAATGTTTCTTTGTTTTGTTTCTGCATGAATTCTCTCTGACTCCGCTCAGGATCTGGTCGGAGAGGTGCTGCTCTCCTTGAGGTTTCTTCCGACCTCTCAGAGGCTGGAGGTGGGTCTGCTGAAGGTCCGGACCCCCGTCCCCGAGGTGTCCTCAGAAACAGGTAAAGAGCCGGACCAACCCCAGCAGACGTGACGTTCTGTCTCTGACTGCAGCTGTTTCCTGCAGCTCTGTACGCCAGGATCAGCCTGCAGTGCAACCACAGCAGGTCCAGGTACCAGAAGACCACCTGCGTGGCCCGCTGCCCCGTCACCGTCTTCAACGAGGTCCTCATGTTCTCGCTGCCGGACCCCCCTCTGCTGCAGTGTCAGATCTTGGTCTCTGTGTTCGAGGTGGACACCAGCGGGAAGCAGAGCAAGCGTGTGATTGGCCAGCTGAGCGTGGGGAAGGAGAGGGGCTCAGAGGACCAGCACTGGGTCCTGATGGTCCGCTCGGTCCGGCAGCCCGTGGCCCAGTGGCACCGCCTGCTGCTTTAAGACCCGGGGGGTCCTGGGACTTCATGGACCCTTTAACTCCTGACCACCACTGTTCTTGTTTCGTCTCCTCTTTAGAGCCACAACTTCTGTTCTCCTTCAGTAAAACAGGTTATTTATAGATTTAAAAAGGTTGATTATTTATAAAACAAATAAAATGTTCTGACTCCTCCTCCTGTCAGCTCAGCTATGACTTCTTTTTATTCAGGTTTTATTTTATATTTACAAAGAGCTGATTAACTGGTTAGTTTAGATAAAATGATCCCAGCCTCAGACAAAGAGATCACGGGCCAAGGCACGAAAAACAAAATTAGAGGCTGACTGGATTCATTTTCATCAACTCCGTAATAAATGTACTTCTTTAATCAAGAAGTCCAAATCTGAATTTTACTTTTCAGAAATCACTAAAAATCTAAATGATCCTAAGAAGTTTTGAAATAATCTGAAATTTGTTTCTGGGGGTGTGTCTCTTTGTGAAATGCCCAATTCTTTGGTCAAAGACTCTATAAAACTGGTTGATAAATGTGATATGTTAAATTATTTTAATGAGCATTTTACTGCAGTAGGGAACTTATTTGAATCTCTTAATAGTGATCTAAAAGTGGAAAAAATAGTTTCATATAATGAATCTGTTAGCTGCCTTCCAGCTGTTAGTTCTTTTCATTTTACACGTGTCTCTGACGTACCAGGCTGTGATGCAGCTGGTCAGGTTGCTCTCTGCAGCACAGCTGTGAAACTTCCTGAGGATCTTTGTCGACATGACAAACTCCCTTAGTCTCCTCTTTGTTGAGCCTTGTTGACCTGTGGTGTTCAAGCTGCTCACCCTCTGTAAGAACATATAAAGAAAATATGTTTTAAACTGACAGAAACATGAACCTCAGGTAAACAAAACTGATATTTTACACAAAGTCATTACGATACAGAGAGTTCCAGTCAGCAGGTTGTAGATGAAAGTTTTAAACTCTCAGATCTGTTCGGCTCAATAACAAGATTTTATAAAAGATTTTAAATAATTAAAGTTACTCAGAAAAAAAGAATAATTATTATCTTAATGTTCACTTAATGTCAGTTTAATTAGAGATTATCTCAGTCTAAGATCCTGACATGAAAGCAGGGGCGGAGCCAGGGGGGTGGTTTCAGGGTGGTACCCTCCAAAACTGAGTGGCCACCGCAGTTGATTGACAGGTGGCTTTAAGATGTGATTAGAGACAAATTAAAGATGTGGAGAGGAGAGATCAGAGCAATGAAGAAAACGTTAATCTGAATTCAAATAAAATTAAAAACTGAGACTTGGTTTTGGATTAGAAATAATTTATCAGAAATATGATGTCATCTGGTGGCTAATCTTTAAAACAGGACAATATTTAAGAACCGAATAAAACAAAAACTGTTAAATATGTTCAACAAAATAATAAAACTAAATATTTTAGGATTGTTGACAGATTTTCCTTTTTAACTCATCAACATGTTGTAATGTGGATCATTAAATAGTGTGTAAGTGTTTCCCACCGGAGGAGTCTAACTCACCCACAGTTTAGGTCACTCCTGTTTTAGAAAAACCTCGGCTTCCGGCTCTGTTTAGATCCTCCTGACAATGATTACATCATTCTGTAACAGGTACTGGGAGCAAGATGGCACCAGTGTGTGTGGCTTCCATCTCTCTGCTTGGCTTGCACAGGGCCTGCTTAACCTCCTGGTAGGCCCCGGGGCTAAGAGGTCCTGTAGGCCCCCCCAGGTTTGGAATCCTGTAGTGGTCATGCAAAATAAATCTCATATTACAATCCAAATCCATTGCAATATTGTACAAAGTAAAGGACTTATTTAATGATAAAGCACTTTTTATGTTATATAATGAAATAATTGTTCCACACTTGATACTGTACTGATGTTTAGGGAAAATCGTAAAAACAATTACAAATCCTATTTTTGTTTTACAGAAAAGAGCTGTAAGAATTTTCACCAGAAAACATTACTATCACCCATCAAATATATTATTTTATCAGTTGAAGTTATTCAAATTATCTGATTTTGGTTGATAATGGTATTTTATCAATCAAAAAGAAAAAAATTGTATAGGTCTTCTGGACGGGTTTTTCCATGGGCGCAGTTAGTACGGGGGACGGGGGGGACATGTCCCCCCCAGATTTATAGTGACCCTGATCAGTCCCCCACACTTTTCCTGATAGGATGAGAAAAAATCTGATCAAAACTTATGATTACCGTTCTGTTAGTTTGCTGACGCTCCCACAGAGGAGCAGCAGCAGCAGCGCGGGTAGCCCTCTCCCCCCTCCCTTCTCTTCCCATCTCTCAGGCTGTGTCACACAGAGGAGCGGTGCAACACACACACACACGGGTTTGTTCTTTATTCTCATGGGGACTTTGCATTGACTTCCATTCATTTACCAGRCATTTCTACAACCTGACCCAACAACAGTATGTTTCCAAACGGGGACCGGGCTTTTTGTCCCCATAAGGAACAATGATTCTCACCACCGCTGGGCTGTGTGCACCTGAACCTGGTCCCAACCACGTAGCAAAAACATGCACACACACACACACAGGCTGCACGGGTCGCGCTGCCTTCTGCAGCATCATAAACAACGAGTTGAAACGAGTTCAGGCTTCATCTGGAAGAGGTAATATCCTCCTTTGATGTCCAGCTTTTTGGTKAACTTTATTCTTCACAGAACCGGAAAATAATTTTAAAATTTCCCTAATGACGTTTTTTCTTACCGAAAGTTCGTGCAGTTAGGTAGACCAGACCAGGTGATCTATCAGCTAGCTACCTTAGGTTAGCTATAACTTAAATTCAGTGATGATATTAAATCTATCAATCCATCCATTTTCTGTACACGCTTATGCCTTTCGCGTGGGTAACTGGTGCCCGTATCCAGCAGTCACAGTGTGTTTTTAATCAGTTAAATTTTATTTTAATGCCAAGAATGAGGACAAAGTCCACTCTGATTATATTTATTGATTCCCTGTTATAATTTCAACATTGAAAAATTGACCAGTTCATTTTCTATAACTTAATAGTTTCAGGATATTGCTTTTTAGCATTAACAAAATGATTATTTGGAGTTTAGCATGTTGTAGAGTTTCAGTATTGAATTCATTGTCAGAGGAGTTTAAATTTTGATAGTCAGATGATGTAAAGAACAATTAGTATTCTCTTTTTTATTGTTATTTCAGGATATTTTCTTGACTTMTTAAAGCTGACTGACTGACTTCAGGTGGCAGTAAAAAGCCTAATACTTKATCCATCTCCATCTGTCTTGATGTAGGAGCTCAGAAAGACAGAGGCTGAGTCAGAGGCAGCACTCAGCAGGTAGGGACAGACTTCTGTCAGGTGAGTGATAAAGGTGCTGGGCAGTTGTGAATTAAATATAAAGTGTTTACTCAAATTAGAATTTATTTTGAGTATATTCTAGTTAGTTGGGTAAACTTCATGAAACAAATTACTGATCTAAAGACAAACTAGAGCATTAACAACTTTATTTAAGTTTCATTTCTAGGAAGTGGTAGAAATTGTTTTTCATAATTAGCCCCCTGGCACAGATTAATATTCAGGTTTCAAATAATTCTATAATGCCATTTTATTGCAAACCATTCACTCAAAAGCTATTATGAAAGTAACTAATCAAATTACTAAAAATTACTTAGATGGAAATCATTTGCTGAAAACTTGGTCTCCCCCAGTTCAAAAATCCTATCTGCGCCCCTGGGTTCTTCTCTAATGAAACGTTTCGTCTCTCCTCCAAGAGCAGACGTGCGGTGACGCCACCTCTGATCCATGTGGATCCAAGTTCCTCACTTCCTGTGTCACAGCTTCCCGTCTCCAAAATGAGCGTCCACGTGGGTCAGAGCTGGCTGAGGCACCGCACGTTTTCACGTCAAGTTTGGGTTTTATAAATCACAACCTTGGCGTAAAAAGTGGCGTACGCAAGTTTCAGGGCTCAAATTGTGCGTTCGCCAGTTTTTATAAATCCGACCCCTGGACTGGTCCTTTCTGCTCCTCTCCAGCCAACGCCACCTGCGCGAGGCGGAGCTCCTTCTCTCGGGACTTTTTAACTCGGTACCTGTAGCCGCGGTTCCGGCCTGGTGAAAGACACAAAACTTTTATCGTGAAGGACTTCAACTCCAGTCGTTTGGATGTTCCCATCGTGACAGAGACCGGACTGAGGCCGGTGATTCCAGCATCTTTAGAACTTTTCCCGGACGGCTGTTCGTGTCTGAGCTCCCCTCTGACGTCAGGCCGCGGAGGAGGAACGGCTGTTGTTTTTAAAAAGGGTTTTAAATGCCAGCAGCGTCCTGCACCGTATTTCTCCATCTGTCAGGTGACTTTATTTGAGGTGAGTCTGATCTGTGCCATCATCTACCGACCACCCAAATAAAATAAGGACTTTTTAAAAGACTTTTCTGACTTCCTGACTGGAGTAAAGACAGATTATGATCGTGTCCTTATTGTTGGGGATTTTAATAAACATGTATGTTGTCCTGAGAAGATGGTGGTGAAGGACTTTCTCAGTATGTCCCATCATAACATCCCATGTGTGTTATTTCAAACCATTGACTCTGTTCTTAAGGCCCCACAAACTGTGTCTGGAAGCTTCCCCTTAGATTTTTAATATCTTTCTGCACTTTTTTTTTATATAAATAAGGTCGCCACAATTAGGGCTCTTATCTCAGCTCCTGATTTTGACCCGTCCTGCTCGGTCCCCTGTCTGGCTGTGTTTGATAGGTTTGAGCCAGTGACTCTGAACGTTAGAAGATGTGGATCAGGTTCTCCTCATGACCCTGTTCTCCCACCCCACGTTTCTTTAAGGAGGTGTTTTCCAGCATCAAGCAGGTGATCCTTGCTGTTATTATTAGCAGCTTGTCTTCAGGTGTTGTCCCCATTAGCTTTAAACATGCAGTGGTGCAGCCTCTGCTTAAAAAAACCTAGCCTTGACCAAACTGTCTTGGCAAATTTTAGGCCCATCTCCAAGCTGCCTTTTATCTCTAAAATCTGGGGAAAAGTTGTTTATTCCCAGATCAAGCCTTTTTTTGGACGATCATAACATCTTGGAGGTTTTTCAGTCCAGTTTTTAAAACCAAGCACAGCACAGAGAATCTGCTCTAGTTAGAGTTTTTAATGATATTCTTATGGCTAATGATTCTGGTGAACATCTGTTTCTTGTGCTGCTCAGTCTAACCGCTGCTTTTCATACAGTCGACCTTAACGTTTTGATTTCACGTCTAAAACACCAAGTATGTGTGGGACCACACTGAACTGGTTTAGATCATATTTGACTGACAGAACCATGCGTGTCAACATAGCTGGGTCCGAATCCTCCACTGCTCCTCTGTCTTTTGGGGTTCCCCAGGGTTCGATCTTAGGTCCCCTGCTTTTTTCTCTTTACCTCCTTCCTCTGGGTTCTTCACTCAGGAAGCATAGTATCTTTTTTTCACTGCTATGCTGACAATAGTCAGATTTGTATGCTGCTGAGGAAAACAGATGCCTTTTCAATTAGGCCACTTCTGTTGTGTCTTGAAGACATCAAAGCCTGGATGTCTTCGAATTTTTTTAATTTTAATAAGAAAAAACCAGAAGTGATGGTGTTTGATCCCAGAGCTCCTGTGAACCTGTTGATCTGGGTCCCCTGGCGCTGCGTGTAAAACAGACAATTTGTAACTTGGGTTTTAAAATGGACGGTGATTTTAAATTAGATTCCCAGATTGGAGCAGTAGTTAAGACCAGTTTTTGCAGCTGGCAAAGATAAAACCATTTCTTCTGAAACAACATCTTGAAACAGTAATTCATGCATTTGTTACATCACGGCTTGATTACTGAAGCGCTTTACCTCGGAGTCAGCCAGACCTCCCTCAGAGCCTCCAGCTGGTTCAAAACGCTGCAGCTCACCTGCTAACTGGAGTTTGTAAGAGGGAGCACATCACCCTCACTCTGGCCTCCCTCCACTGGCTTCCTGTTCATTTTAGATTTCCTTTTAAGGTTATTTTATTTGTTCATGAGTCTGGATGGTCTTGCCCCACCCTACTTGTCACACCCACTCTCCTGCTCGGTGCCTCAGGTCAGCTAGCTGCTCCTGGAGGTGCCCAGGTCCAAACCTAAGCTGAGAGGTGACAGAGCTTTTTGTGTTGCTGCTCCAAAATTGTGTAACAGTCTTCCACTCTCTGTGAGACAAGCCCGTTCACTGTCCACTTTCAAAACTTGTCTAAAAACACATTTTTACTCCCTGGCTTTTGGCACAGCCTGAGACTTTTTTATTCTATTTTAATTTTAATTTTAGTGTTTTATTACTGGTTTTAGTGTTTTTAATCGTTTTGTGTTCTCATGTTTTGGTTTTACATACGTGCAGCACTTTGTTGCAGCTGTGGTTGTCTTAAAGGGCTTTAAGTTGAGTTGAGCTGAGTAAAAGATTTGTTCCTGTCTGACTGCACTTCCTGGACTGTTTGTGTAACTCAGGTCGATTTGCTTACAGGAAAATGGCTTTAATTGGCCTTTTTCAGCTGGTGCTCTCGACTCTCCTGTTTGTCGTCGTCATCGATGGTCCTCCTCCTCCGGGTAAGTTTTATCTATGAATTAAAACCTGATTTATAAACTGATTTAATTCTCTGAGAGATACAGGAGAATAAGTTGGTTTTCTGTCTGTTTATTAAAGTAGTATTGCCTGTATTTAGATCTATTTATGTCCAGTTGTGGTGTTAGCTGTTAGCTGTTAGCTGTTAGCTAATGGCCGACATTTAGACCTATATTAGCTGACGTTTCTCAACAAAATGTCCTCAAGGTTTGAACCAAACATGAGGATGAAAATAAAAACAGACAAGTTGTTCTAATTTTACTATGTAACATTAAGAGAAATGTTGATTTTTTACAGTTAACTCCTGATTCAGTTTGTTGTATTTTTTCCAGGCAGACAGAATTTAAACTTTTAAAACCATCTCTAACAAGAGTTCTTCAGATATTCTGAAAGTCATTCAAAGTTTTTCAGTCATTTCTGCTTTATGCCTTCTGATTATTTTTAATCATTCAGGCATAAAAAGAGTTCTTAAAGTAAAAGATGAACCAGAAATATGTCGACAAATAACCGACAACTTTAGTTAAGTATTTAGGCGTGTTGTTCTCAGCAGTAAAGCCTTAACAAGCCTTTTACTTCCACTTATTCTAAACGGAACAGAAGTCCTGTTTTTTTATCCACTTGCTCCTTTTTATAAATTTTCTAACCACACTCCAGACAACCTGCTGATATAATGAATAATAACATTTTCATGTCTTTAATCATCAATTGTTTTGTGTTTTTCCCATTTTCTTTAGCCAACATATCCATCCAGGCTGAGTCAGGTCAGGACGTCCCTCTGACCTGTCACATTCCTGACAAATACAACAGCTCTGTCAAGTTGAGCAAAGTTGTTTCTGAGAGAGTGACCGTTTGTCTCTTCAGAAACGGTCAGTTTGATAAAGAAAGTCAGCATCCATCTTTTAGGAACCGAGTGGTTCTTAATGACAGCAACAGAAATGGTGAATATTTGTCTCTGACTCTGAAGAACATGACGACTGCTGACAGAGGAACATACTGGGCTCATGGTCTTCATGAAAGCACATGGTACACCTTCTGTGTCTACATCCTGACTGTTGTTGGAACAGGTGAGTTCAGGTGTTAAAGATTTCTCTCTAGATTAGAGCTGATTGGTTTTTTTTATTTATTTATGCTTTAACATGAGTTACAGTGTAAAGGCAGTGCAGTAGTAACATAGTTAACATTGTACCATTAACATACAAACATAATTGGGCTAGAACACACCCAATTACACACACATAAATCTACATGAGATATATGAAATGGATCAAGTCAGAATAAGAATACCGTGTTAGCGAACAAAGACAGATACATAAAAAAAATAAAAATTCAGGTGCCAGGGGATACTTCTGTCAAGTTTAACTCAAGAAAAAGAGTGAAAATAAAAGAGATATAGATAAGAAGAATAGTAATAAACACCAGCTACAAGCATACCACCTTCTCAGTCTGGAATATTAGGGAAATTAATCTAAGGGTTCTTAATAAGGGGCTCCACAGATCCAAAAATCTCATAGAAGAGCCTCTTAAAGTATAACGGATTTTCTCTAGTTTAATGAAATACAGTGTATCTCGAAGCCAATGTGTATATGATGGAGGTTGAGGCGACTTCCATTTCATTATAATCACACACCGCGCCAAAAATGTCAAGAATGCCAAGGAGGATTCCTGAGAGGAGGACAAGGAGGATTGTGAGGGTTCAACTCCAAACAAAGCAGTCAAGGGGTCAAGCTCCAATTTCTTGTCAAAAATGTCCGATAGAGTAGCAAAAACCTTGAACCAATAATTAAAAAGTTGAGGGCAGAGCCAGATAGTGTGGATCAAATTACAGGTGCTGGTCATAAAATTAGAATATCATGAAAAAGTAGATTTATTTCAGTAATTCCATTTAAAAAGTGAAACTTGTATATTATA